GTGAAGTCCTTCTCCAAGGACTGGTCCCTTCTGGCCACATGCCTGTAGTATGTGAGACCGAGCTTCAAAATCCTAGCCTCCAAGGAGAAACTTGGTCTCACCCTCTCCAAGTTAGACCTATAGTCTAAGAATCTTCTCCAGAACCACAAAGATATCGGTTCTTCTTCTGTCATCTTTAGTCATTGTCCAGCTCTCTGATGCATAACAAATAATTGTGAAGATCATGGCCTGGATTTGGTGCACCTTAGCTTCTAGACTGACGTTGCTTTTCAGCACTCTGGAGAGGTCCCTGATAGAAAATTTTCCCATTGCAGCTTGTCTTTTGATTTCCTGACTGCTGGTGTTAAGAGTGTTGATTGTGGAGCCGAGCAAGCTGAAATTTGAAGAAAATATTTTCGTTTTCCTCCTCTGTCCAGTCTCCCCTTTACCCAGGTTTTGGCCTCTGCAGGTTTTACTGTAAACAGTGAATCCTGGTGCCCTAGTCTACAGGGAGTTGTGCTGTTTGTCTGGTGGTTTGAATCTAGCTTGGCTCTGTGGAAACTGGCAAGCTCTCCAAGTATAGTGGACAGCGTGGAAACCCAGTGGAGGGTGGGCTGTGAGAGAATTCCAGCTCATGTTGACGAGACACTGCGTTCAGGCACTGTATCCCTGGCTGGGGTGGGGCGGGCGCCAGAGCTCACGTGTGACTGGCACTTTCAGAACAAATCCTGCTGCTGCCTCACTCCTCTGTGCAGCTGTGGTAGCAGCGTGGCTCCACGTGGCCACCGTGTGGCCAGTGCCGGCTGATGTCCACTCCTGGATCCGATCCTTCGTCCTCTGCATGGGCAACAGGCAGGGCCGAGGGGGCAGCCCTGGCTCTGAGGTGCACCCGACAACCCTTGTTCTGTGTTTATTACCCCCCATCTCATTTGATAGGTCTCTCTCGATGTCTTCCTGGACTGCAGGTGAAGTCCTCCCATGGTGACAGAACCAGAGGGTGTTTTGGTAGAGGTGAGAGTCAGAAAAACACTTTCAAAATGAGAAATCAAAATAGCACATTCTTTCTGAAAAGTGAAAATCTGCAGGAAGTGAATATTATGGCCAGCCTGCACTTTTGGCAGCAAAGATAGTTTTCAGTGGTGCTGTTTCAGGCAGTTAGAGATCCTCAGATGTCCTTGATAGGCCGTCATTTCACCAGATTAAACTGGCAGGAGGCTTGACTTATTAGTGTTTGAAGTTCTTCTTTGGTTTCTTGAGACGCTGGCCAGCAGGCTACCCTAACCTGGTGAGCTCTGCTGGGCCTGGGCCTTCCCCTCCAGCCCTCCCGTCAGCTTCCTGGTGATAAGTTGCTGGGACGTCTAGCAGTCTACTTGAATTGACTGTCTCTCAAACTCATGTCCACCTCAAGCCAGTTCAGTTTTTCTCAGGCCAAAAACTATGATTTCTTTTTTGACCCCTTTTGTACAGACCCTGCATTTAATCTGTATGGGAATGCATTTGGCTCTAATTACAAATATATATCCTGAATGTGGCTGGTTCTCCTGCTTGGCTGCCAGCGCTTGTACAAGCCAGGGACTTCACTGCCTGGATCATTGCAGGTGGATAATGGCTCTCCATCTCTCTGTCCCCCCCCCCCCCGCCCCTCCCACCGCCTCCTGCTAGTTCTGTCTCCTGGTCTGTTCTGAAACAGCGTAGCCCAAATGGTCACCACTGAAAGCCAGTCAGACTGTGCCCCTCTGAGGATCAGTGTCCACCATGGCTGCTTTTCTTGCTTAGAATGAAAAATGAGAGCGTGCTGGGAACCTTGAGAGAGTGCCCACTGCCCTGTGGTCTGCCCTCCTCTCCGTCCTCCACGTCCCACTGCCCAGGAGCCCTCTCCACTTCTCTCCTCCTGGTTTCTGGGCTGGGACCTTGTTCCTTGATTCACTTGCACCCCTAGTCTTGCATGTTCCTTACTGAGAAGAAATCCCTCCCAGGGATTTTTTAGAACTGATCCTCCAGATCCCACCAACCCACTGCCTTGAGGTCACAGGGACGCTGCAGGACAGTGGACTGCCACATGAGGCTTCCAGAGCTGTGATCGTACGGAAGCGCGTGTGGACTCAGCACTGTCTTTCCTGTTAACAGCCCAGCGCTGGCCCTGGTCCACCCAGGGCTCCCTGCTATTACCATGTGGTTCTGGTTCACAGACTGTGTCCTAGTGTGTGGCCATTATGTCTCCCACGTGGCAGTATCTCTTGAAAGGATGTTTTCTTTAGACTTTGTTCTCATTCGTTGCTTACCTCTCACGTGCAGATGAAGAAATTGGAAATTGCATACTTATTTCCCAGAGCCCCGGTAGTGGGTAGTTAAGTGTTGGGCTACTCACCGAAAGGTTGACAATTCAGACACACCAGTTGCTCCTAGATGAGCAATGAAGCAGTTTCTTCTCATTGTGATTTACTACCTGAGTCTGGGGTTTGGGTGGTAGGGGATGGTGTCCCTGTGAGGCAGAGCTGACCCAAAGGCTCTGAGTCAGTGGTCGGGGGTGGGTGAGAGCGTCCCTCTGAGGTAGAGCTGACCTGAAGGCCCTGGGTCGGTGTGTGTGTGTGTGTGTGTGTGTGTGTGTGTGTGTGTGTGTGTGGTGTAGGGTTCCCGTGACCTGAAGGCCCTGGGTGGGGGTGGGAAGGTGGGGGTACTTGGGGAGGACGGCCCTCGTGAGGCAGAGCTGACCTAAGGCCCTGGGTCGGGTTTGGCACTTCTTTTGGAGCCTCGGAGGCATAATGAGTTAAGATGGTCAGTTCAATGAAAGGTCAGCAGTTCAAATCCCCAGTGCTCTGAGAACAGGGCCTGAGGCCCATGTCCTGTGGGGATTTCAACTCTGGAGCCTTCAGGGCCTGCAGGGACTCTTAGACTCTACAAGAATTTGTTATTGTTTGTTTGGTTTGGTGCTGCTTTTAAGAAAAGTTTAATTTCCCAAAGGAAAATGTCTTTGTTTACTTCTACATGGTAAGGAATAAACATTTTTGTGTGAATATAATTGAGCTGTACTTCAGTATTACATGGTTTTCTTTTTGCACATTGCTTGCTGTCATGAGAACAGGACGTTCTTGTAAACGCTCCGCGATGTGGACCGTGAGCAGCTGCTGGCCTGGCGCTCTGGCCGGGCCCCGCGCGGGCTCCATGCGGTGTCTGAGGGCATTGCTTCCAACTCAGACATTTTAATTAATAAAATTTCTTTGTATTAAAATTGGGCTGTGATTTCCAAATTCAGATTTTGTAAATTATACTTGGCCATGTAAATAAGCTGTGCTTTGCAACTTTGGGGTTTTAACCTTCGCTCTTTGCTATTAGCTTTATGTTTTTTTAATTATAAGATAATAGAGGACAGTAGGGAAGTTATGACTTAAGTGGAAAGTTATTATTACTGAATTATTTTTGAGGGAAATGAAAAATATTTATTTTATTCAGCTGAAGTAGAAGCAAATACGGACTGTGTTCAACTGTTGTTTTTGCTGAGTATTAGTACCATCGTGGTCCGATTCCTTTCCCACGTTCACAGTTGATGCTGCAGTCAGTCCTTTAACACTGTAAAGCGTGCCAGGCCCAGGTTGCTGTTACCTGCGAACAGAAAAGAATTAATGTTCTTTTCCTCTGATACAAGTACATTACTGTAATCATCAACTTGTAATCATTTTAAAAAGACATCTATTATTTTACGTTCTAAAGTTAAATTCCGTAACATCACATGGAAAGAACCAAGTGGACCAGAGAGGAGAGTGCAGGGCCCTTCCAGCTTTCCCCGACTGCTCTTTCCTCCGCTCCTGCCGCGGCGTCCATGGGGTGACACTGCTTGGCTGCTCCACTTGTCCATTTGTGCAAACACGTCCAGATGAATTCAGTGTTTAATGTTAAGAATCTTATCACATGCCAATTTGATTTGTAGCCCTTCATATCATAGAATGCTAATTAAAATAATATTTTTGCATATGTCATGCCTTTCATGTACATATGCAAATAGATTCTGTTGCCTTTCAGCTATTAGTAATTAACTTTATGAAGGACAGCTGTAATACATAATTAACGAAACTGTTTGCAAGCCCTTTTACACTGAAAGTTACAACAGTAAAAAAATTTTCCTCCTTATCAAGAGAGCTGTTTTAGCCTGATGTTTGTGACTGATAACTAAATTGTTTTAAATACTCGCATGACATAATTCAATTGATGCAGCGCTGTGATCAGCTGAGCGGTGTGCTGGCGTCTCTTTCCTCCCATTTCACATTTATGTCAGTGGAATTGAATTAACTCAGCTGATTTGTGTGTAAAATAAGAGAGGATGTCAGGTAATGCTTTTTGTTTGTTTTATTTATTGATATCTTCTTGGCATTTAAATACATTTTTTCCCACTACAGACACAATAAACATTTATATCATTTAAAAAAAACCCTCCTTCAGATTATTAGCATGTTTTAAGAAAGCTTCATGAAAGCTGTTCATTTTCACTTTTATAGTCACTTAAATATTTAATAAAATGACATTTTCTCAAACTCATTTAATGATTGAAGTCAGGACATTGAGGGGTGGCCTTTTCCCTTTCCCAGGGGACAGTGCACACAGTCCCTGTTGCAGTGCCATGTGGCCCTTTCCCATCCTTCCAGGTAACGCTGTGGAGAGGGCCTGCTCTGGGGGTGTGGCCTTTCCTGGGGACAGTCCTTGCTTCGGTGAGGTGTGGCCTCTCTTCCCAGGGGACACTGTGGACAGTGGCTCAAGGACTAAAGCTGTGGTCTGGCGTGGACCCTCAGAGTGTACCCAGACAGACAGTGCCCTGCCTCAGGATAGGCCGTCTTTCTCCAGTGTGTTCTTGGCATCCACTTACTCTGTTTGCAGGCTGTTGGGCCCCTCTGTTAAGTGCAGGCTGTGTTGGTTTTCAAATTTGTTCTGCCACAGCACACTCGTCTGTTAGCCCTCTGACTCGTTATAAATATGTCGAGCAGCGTCTTTGTCGGATATGTAATTCCTTTTGTTACTTTCTCTTGTTTTAGGGTGGCTTTTGTCATGAAGAAGCACTTGAACACTCATTTACTTGGCAAACACGGAGTCGGCACCCCGAAAGAAAGGTGAGTGATGCTTGAGGGAGACCCTTCCCCTCCCTGTCTTCCAGGCACTAGAGCACTTGCCCGTGCCGTACTTGACGTGTGTCTTATGCACAGGCAGCTGCCCCACGGGAACGGAGTGTCATGTTTTCATTTTAAGTCTTTATAAAAAAGTTTGAAAGAACTTTGTGAACTTTTAAATTTTTGGATTTGAAAAATTGAAAAATATCAGTAAGGTTATATTTGAGACTCATGACCTCTAAACATCTGTAAGAATGTGCTAAAATAAACATGTGACTTAACTCTTTCCCCTTTATTCTTATTTTTCATCTTTAAAATAACATTTTTTAGAAAGGTTTTACTTTTTAAAGGAAAATACACAACAATGAATGAAGGTCCAACTTTTCTGTAAACTTTTGTTAAAATCGCAATAACAGAAAAAATGGAATAAAAATATTTTTATTGTTTTTTTAAAAACCCAAAAAACATCTGTGTCATCCTCAGAATACCACCCCAGTTGCCATGTCATTAAAAATAACATTACAGTTACTATGTCATCAACAGCCAGGTTTCCTTTTTCCTTGCCTACTGTGTCATAATTAGCTTCATCACCTAGACTTAATTATATTAGGTGAGGTGAGATACAGTAATGGCAGCTCCCAGGTGAGGGTGGCCACTTCTGGGCCTTCAGGCCTGCAGGTGTGTGCCTGACTCAGCCCTGGCTTTCGCTCTGACGTTGGCACTGGTTCACCTTTCCCCAGGTCTTGTGACTGCAGCGCAGGACGCCCCCAGCTTTCTGGAGGTGCTGACTTGGAGAGCCTTCAGATGCCTGCAGTGCTCTTCTAGCGCTACTGCTCCCAAGCATGAGAGCTCCTCACCTGTGTTTCTAAGTGTTCATTTGCCTTTTTCAAATGTACGGCGCACTCACCTTCGCTGTCTGTGCACAAGGATTTGGGGTGAAATGGTGACGCGCCCTTGACTGAGACGGTGCGTGAGAATGGGCTGTCCCCTGCCTGGTGTTTCTCAGTAGCTGTGCCGGACTGTCTAACTTAGGCACCTGCTCTTTACCGTTCCTGACTAGCAGTTCATGTGCACAACAACCAGGACAGATCCTCAGGTGATGCTTCCTGGAACCTGGGGACTGACAAGAGAACAGACAGCTGTGTCTGCGAGAGGTTGCAAAGTGTTCCTTTGAGGGGAGGGTGATGAGACTTCATTTCACGTCCCTTGGGCATGTTGTTAAGAGGGACCAGTCCTTGGAAAAGGATCCGAGGCTTCAGAGAGAGAGAGCCCGTGAAGGAGATGAAGACTTTCCCGCGGTGATGGACCAGGGGCTGACGTGCGGCAGAGGTGATGAGGACTGTGCTGATGAGATAAGCTTCAGATCTGCCATTCAGACGGTCACTAGCGGTTGTAGTTAGGTTGGCACTAACTAACATGTGGGATCTTGGCCAGTCTGGTGCCCACAGAGGGCCACCTTAACTGGTCTATTAAAGAGACTCCGGTAATGGCTAGGCCACATGGGTGACCACAGTCAACTATCCCCAGGTGGGCTTTCCCCATTCATCCTTGATGCCTTGGTCCAGCCACACAAGGTGGGGGGTGATGACAGGAGATGTAAGATACTGACTGGACAAGACTGGACCCTGGTGGCCTGACTGTTCCCATGATGATGGATGGGGAGGGGAGAGGGCAGTGAGCTTTGTGGGGCTTCAGCAGCTCAGTACTGAGAGTATGGGCAGGGTTTACTCAGAGAGGCAGGCAGGAAGTGGTGGGTCCCAGATCGGTGCCCTCGTGGTGCCTTCGTGAGTGCTGCCGTGCTGACAGAGTGGTGGGGAAGGTGCCGTGAACCCCTGGGATATACCTGGACACCCGAGGGGTGGTGCATTGTAAAAGGGCAGTCACTCATCTCAAACACAGGTCAAGCCCAGATTCTCGCCTAATGCAGACTTCCCAGGATGATGACCTGATCGTTGGTGCCCTAACCGTGTTGATTGATGAAGAGTGGCAGTGTTTAATTTATGATTGTAGATAAAATATATGTGCTGAACATGTCATGAATCCATCATTCTTAAAAGTTCAAAGTTAGAATGTTTAAAATTTGGAGCTTGTCAGATTTTTTTTCATGAGCTTTAAAAAATGGAAACAAAACTTGGTTTTAATTATTATGCTTAATTTGCATTTACATGCATTATCTTATTTAATCACTGGGTGACCTTATCAGGGGGCATTATTATTCAAATTTTATAGCTCTGAAAATCCAGGAAAATGCAATAATATGCCAATGTCTCATAGGTACTAAATGTTAGAACTGCTGTTTTGCTGACTGGAATTCTGATGCCTTTTAGTACTTAGTATTTTGTTATTCAGAGAGAATCTATAACATCTAGACACATAAGGCTTTTATCATAAGATACTTTTGGACAAAAATAAAACAATCTAGATTGGAAAACTGTTCTCAGGTGTACCTCAAGCCAGTCCAGTGTCCCTTGGTGTCCAAGGGTAGCCGGCTCAGGACCGCTGTGGGGAACAGAGCCTGGGTGTTGAAGTCCCTGGTGGAAGATGGTGCCGGTGTGCTAGAACCTGCCCACATACCCAGTGGATGTCATTGCTGGGTGACATCTGACGCCTGGTACTGTGTACACAGGGTGTCTGTAGTCCCCCAGGAGCCCCTTGGCCTTTGAGGGGCTTCTCTGACCACTTCCTTACCTCCCACCCTGTCTCACTTGCATTATGTTTTTGATTCATAGTTGGTTAAATCCACGGATTCAGGACTCGAGGACAGTTGTGACTGTCAGCATTTGGAGCTCATAAGCATTCTTTTGTTTTCTCTTGGGGGGGGTTGTAGAAATGGGAAGTCTGTGTTCACTTTGTTTCCTGCCACACACTGAGGTGAGAGGGCCAGCCCCCAGGCACTCTTGGGTTGCTGCTTTCCTTCACTGCCAAACACAGGAACATTTCTTCCCCTTGCTACAGGCTTCCGAAGACAAGCACTAGAAGGCAGGGCGAGAAGTGATTGCTCTCTGAGTAAGGTAAAGTCTTCTTCAGGCCCTGAACAGGAGTCTCAGATCAGGACATTGTATTTTCTGAAATATCACCTTAGGGGTGTGCAGGGCTCCAGAGTTCACTGAGAGGGAAAATCCTTTTCCAGTTAAAAATCCATTGTTCCCTAATCCTTGTTGGCTTTTCCGCCTCCTTCTCTGTAGTGTTCTGTCACTGTGGAGACATCATGGGTGGAATGGCAGGGCCAGCACAGTGCTGGTACTGACCAGTCCCTGTCCCTAGCTGCTTGTGGCTGAAGCTGTAGTAGCCTAAGACCACCCCGTAGGTGTGGCCCAGTCCCATCCCTCCACATTTGCCTCCTCCCTGGGGGTGGGGGAGGTTTGATGTCTTTAATGGTTTAGGAAGCAAAGAAACTCTTTATCAGCAGATTGAACCATCACTTTGGGCATAACCATTCTCTAAATTAAGTTAAGCATTTTTTTCTTACCTATTTAAAACATTAATGCCTTGGCTATAATTTTGCAAGCTTGCTATATTTTAATTTCTCCAGGACAGTATAATCGGTTTACTTTTTTATGTTTTGAATTTGATTCTCCACTTGTATGCATTGCATATTATATCAAATAGCACTAGAAGGTAGCTAAATAGGCTGCGACAATTAAATTAATAATGCATTTCATTTGTGAGTACTTAGCCTTGTGGTTTGACTGATACATGCAAAAATGAGAATTTATTAAAATAAATTCATATATACTTGTACCATAAACTTTCACTCTCTAGTAAGTTTTGTCAGCATGACTGTTGTTAGAATTAGAAAACAAAATAATTTTAAATACATTTCTGAGATTCCACAGTGGGCTTAACCTTTTCTGGAATAAATAATGTAAAAAAAGTCACTCCACTAAAATCTTCCAAAAAGAATACAGCATAATTTTAAGAGGAAATAAGTAAAATTACATTGCAAATAATTACAAAATCACATTTCTGCACAATGTATTGCATCAGGTGTTTGTCTCTAGTGTTCAGTCTTAGCATGTCATGTGTCCAATTTTCCTCTTCACATTTCCTGCTGGGTGGCTCAGGGCTGAGTGTGACATCTGCCTCTAGCAAGCAGGAGAACTCGCTAGGGCAGGTGGTATTTCCTGTTCTGCTCCTATGTGCAGTTTCATCTTCTTCCTTTGTAGGGAAGTCATGTTTCAGATAAGAGGTAAATTTTAATAAATGTATATAAATCTAAGCTCACTCGATCTAAGGGCAATCTTTCAGGACCCATGCCTAGGGTAGAGCTGGTATTCTGAGAGGACGTGGTATCTGGGGGCACTATTGCTGAGATTCTGGAAGTTCTGTTCGAAATTTTCTTTTTTTTTCCCCTGTTGATTTTTGTATGGTCATGTCATGCAGTACCCCTTACGCCTTCCCCAGTCCCTACTGGTTTCCTGGGTGTTGATTCATTGTCAGAATGCTTGCTCCTGAGGTCTGCTGAACAGCCAGTCCTGGGGCCAGAAGGGAGAGTCCCCAGCCTGCATCCTTAGGCCTTGCTGGCGAGGTTTAGGTGCATTGCCCTGACTGTACAGAGCACCGGGACTTGCAACTTGAAGCAAAGTTATTGTGTTAGCAGAAGAGGAGTTCAAGGGCATATGTCACAGGGGAAAAAGCCTTTTTCATACCTTTTAGGTAATCTTTAAATTCAAGCCAGCAAATATTATTGAATGTTCATGTCTATATCTCGAGCATTTAAATCAATATGTGATACGGTCCTTGTTCTTTGGAAATGTTCCCTGGTGTGCAGTGAATGCTGTATGAAAAGAGAGAATTTCCCAGGACTGCAAAAGTTCTCAGATGGGAAGCCGCTGATCTTACTGAAGATCCTGTGAAAGAAGCTCATAAGGGTTTTTTAAAATAATTCACTCGATTGTTCTTTCAGTAGCAGAAACACTTGCTATGCATTTGAGAGCTGAGCAGTGAATAAGGATGACAGAAGAATTGATGCCTTTGGACTATGGTGTTGGAGAAGAGCACTG